GTATGGATTGTGATAAGATTTGTATGAGCCCCTAATAAAACAATTTTAAAAAATTCAATACCAGAATCCTGATCAAAAGGAGGAGGAACAGAATTCCACGTAGTCACTTAATCCAGATGATGTGGCATCATGGAGCTCAATGAGCCCCTGAAACTGTTTGTAATAGTTAAGATTTTGTGTCACCTGGCCTTGGCCAGGACTCTCAGTAATGAGATCTGCTATAAGCAATTGAAAGGCTGTTTTCTGGGGGTGTGACCTGCTTTTAATATCATCAAATACTGTGGAAAAACTTGTTTATTTGTGCTGGGTCTGAATCCTGTATCTGGCATGTCATCTGATCTCCAATTCTTTGGGCTTGAGCCAGAGACCTGCTGTATTGCCTGCCGTTCCTGGGAGTCAGCAACCTGCCATCTTACCTGACAACTTTGGATTTGTTTGCCTCGCAACCAGAAGTCTCCCATTGGGTCTGCCGATCCAGATTTGTCAGTGCCTGCAGTTACATGAGTCAAGAGAAGCTTCCAGTCTGACATCTGACCCACGGACTTGGAACTTGCCTTCCTCTACATCTCTGTGAGCCTTTTCCTTTGATATAAGCGTTGTTCTCCTTGCGCACGCTTGCTCTCCTTGTGTATGTGTGTGTGTGTACACATAGGACAGGTTAGACCTGCCCTTGTGGGTTTCCAAGACTGTAACTCTTTATGGGAGTAGAAAGCCTCATCTTTCTCCCACAGAGCATCTGGTGGTTTCAAATTGCTGGCCTTGCAGGTAGCCCAATACTTAATCATTACACCATCAGGAACATCACTGTTCTGAAATAACATTAAACCTTAAACCAAAAATGTCTCCGACACCAAATGAAGCAATAGATAAACCCTGCAGGGACAGTAACGGGAGTAGCGATATCATGAGAGTAGGGAGATGGTCAGGGAGCAGGAAGGGTGGGAAAAGGAGAATCCATCCCAAGATTGGATCTATAGCCCCCCACCCTGTGAAGGGAAATGTGGGTGACTGGAGACAAAGGACAGTGTAAGATATGAATAACAATATACTATTGATCAAGGATAGAGGAGGGTGGGGGAGAGGAAACAAGAGGTGCTTATATCAAGGGCTCAAGCAGAAAATGTCTTGGAAATGATGATGGTAGCATATATACAAGTATGCTTGATACAGTTGATGTATGGAATACTATAAGCTGTAAAAGCCCCCAATAAAATGATGAGGGGGAAATACAAGCAATAGTTTAGCTTAACTGATAAATATTATCTGCCCTGAGCATTATGCTCTTTTTAGATATTAGATGGTATCAAACTGATGACAACAACAACTTGAAAGATTAGATGTATGGTGAGATTATGTTAGGGGATGAGAACGGCTGCATAACTCAAATTAATGTCAGTGCATGGAGAAACTGGAGTTGGTATATGTTCTGCTTTGTGCATTCTCAATAACAATAAAAAAAATAAATTCTGAAAAAATAAAGCCCTGGCCAGCTCTTTCAGAAAACCCAGCCATTGAATTGCAGTTCAACCCTGTAACACATGGGGTCCCTTTGAGTTAGAACTGACATGATGCTAAGTGCTACCAGTCCATACTGGTAGGAACTTGAACTATTGTTGACTAGCTTTCCATGATTGTGAGTTAAAATAAGATTATATAAGAGTATTCTAAACTCTCAAGACTTACGTAGTTTCTAAACCTGCATAAATGAACTGATGAAGGTAATCATTGTGAGTATGGGAAAAGGAATGTTCCCTGGGAGGAGAGTGAGCATGGGTACCAGAACATGAGTGGAAAATTGAGCATGTGATGGAATAAGAGCCAGAGGATATCAGAATCCTCCGAGAAATCCAAGAAGGTAGTATTTACCAAAAGATAATTGCTTAGGTAAAACAAGCCTGTTTTATCTTATAGCAAAGTTTGTGCAAAGAAAAGTAAGATGTGTTGATTTGTGGTGGTTGTATGTTTGCATTTAAATCATTAGTGATTAGAACAGCGGTGCTACAATAACATTGTCGGTTTATTGAAAAGAAAACCCAGTCCCTTTGTGCTGGTCAGCATCCCGACCCCACCCTCCCACACTTGCATGTACACTCCCATGTGTTTGATAAGAATTACGTGAGGCTCTTTTAAATGTTACCAATTTGCTCCTCTAGAAATTTTGTTTCCTTAGGGCCCAGCCATCAACCTCCCTCCTGCTCAGCAACAAACACTGGAGTTTCTTCGGAATGCTTTGGGGGACACTGGTAGGAGGTTGGTTAAAACCACACAAGTAGGACTGGGCTAAAAGTTCTTTTATTTCTGAATATGCCAGACAAAAAGAAAGGCTTTTTAAAACATGTAGAGAGAGAAAAGTGTCAAAAATGTTAATGTTACTTTTTCTTTATCAAATAATTCATATATATGATTTGAAAAGTTAAACACTAATACTTAAAAAAAGGTAAAGCAAACTTCACTCAGCCCTCCCTATTTCATTCATTCTTTAAAGGCAGTCACTCAAATCTGTTTCTCTCCTGTATTATCTTTAGATTTGTAAATTTTTCGATGTGATACTTTCTTTTGCGCCATACCAGTTTGGGGCCTGTTGATTGATATCCTGTTGTGATTAGGACTTTGTTTTTCCATCCCACCCTTCTTTGCCTCTTTATACTTGCCATCTCTTATAAGTTTTACTTAATATGGTCAGTTTTTATATATTTACACCTCTGCCAAATATTGATCATTGTTGAATCAGGTGAACTGTCACAGCTACCCTCCTACTCAAGTTTAAATTGACCTTTGTTTTTTCTATGTCTCTACTGTTTTCACCAATTGTTTCAACATTCTTGTCATATTCTTATTAATAATATTTTCAATTAGTATGAATTTACCACTCTAACTCTTTTAGAGGAGCCCTTCATCTTCCTCCTGTCTTTATGGCATCCCTAAGAAGCCCTGTTGTTATTGTAGATTATAGCATAGCAGCCCAAGGACACCTGTTCAAAAATCGACCAGCCATACTGTGTTAGAGAAAAGATCAGGCTTTTTAGTCCCGCAGGGATTTACAATCTTGGGAGCCCACAGGGGCAGTTCAACTCTGCCCTATCTGACTCATAGCCACGCCATAGGGCAGAGTTGACTCACTGCAGTGAGTTTGGAGTTTGATTTGTTTAATTGCTTTCCAGATACCGCCCTGGAGCCATCCTTCACTCTTCTGTGCTGGAAGCCATCTCTTCCTCCTTATCTTCTTGTAGCAGACTTGACTTTATTTTGCTCACACACTGATTTGATGATTTAGGACCTAGGTTAGAACTAATTTTTGATCAGAATTTTTAAAGCATTTCTCCCCTGGCTTCTGGTTTTCTGAAATTGCTTGGAGGGCATAGTGAGACAAATCTGTTTTATGTGACCCTTTTCTTGGTATATTTCAGGGTTTGGTTTGGCCATGTGTCTAGTCTGTCCATGGTGTTCTGGGATTTCACAGTGAGCTACCATGTTCAGGTCTTTCTTCAGCCCTTCTGTTGCATATTTGAGGATGTAAAAGCTGCCCTTTTGACCGTAAATGGTTGATTATTCCAACATGTGGGTGAATTTAGTTCCAGATCTGAAGGGTGATGGAGGGTCATAGTTTTGGGGATCCCATTGCCTCTATCCATGTTTTTCCTTTCCTATTTTTTTGAAGTTTTCTTGGGCATTTTTATTAAAGCTTTGGTTAACTGTCTCAAAACACTTTCATAAGCAGATGTTACCATTCTTTGTCCCTCCAGAAATTCATCAAGTAAAATACCTTGAACATCCCAAAAGATTGTTAATAATCTTCGCTGTCCACGTTTTTCTAATGTGATCCTTTTCCAAGCAGTTGGCAGCAGCAGCCGGGCATCACCTAGTTCTTGTGGCCTCAGGGTTGTGGAAACTGATGGTTCTCATTCCCAGGCCCAGCAAACTCATTCCCGCATGGTATTTGATTATTTCTAAGAACTTTCATAATATTGACCCCATATGCTCCACCACCTTCATAAGAGTATGTGCACCAAAGGTAAACACACATATACAAATGACCTCTGTCAACTCTATATCTATTGCTGGGTAGACATACTCTTCCCACAGTTTACTAAAAGTGGCAAGGAGAAGTTTTCAAGATTTTGTGTAGAAATCCCTGCTAACTATCCAGGTTTATCACTTACAAGTTCCACCTTCCCCAAAACATTCAGACAAGTTCTTTACACTGTAGCTCTATTGCTCCATGACATGCTTATCATTTTCTTTCAAAGCTTCACTAGGAGCACGTTTAATGCCCACATTTCTAGCAAGATTCCATTCAGTGCTATAGAAATGCCCTACAGCTCTGAATTGTTTCTTCATCAGAGTCTCTTAATGTCCATGATTGTCAAGACAATTTAGATTCTTAGTATGAAGCACATCAAAATTCCTCCAGCCTACTCCCCCCCACCCCCCCAACCCCTACCCCACCCAAGACTTCATTCCAAAGCCCTTTCCATGTCTTTGGTATTTGTTACAGCTGCACCCTCGCTTCTCGCTACCAAATTCTTACTTTGCTAGTGCTGCTGTTAGAGATAAAGCATATTTAGCAAGCAGACTGTTCATTGTCTCACAGTTAAGAAGTCAGAAGTCCAAATACAGGGTACTAGTGCTCACAAAAGGCTCTCTGCCCCCTCTGGGGGAAAATTCTTGTTTCAATGTCTGTAACTGCATATTCTCTGGTGACCTTCAGGTGGTAGCTCTTTCTCCCCCATTTGTATTTACTTGGCTCTGTGTTAACCCCACTTTCTTTTTATAGCTCAAAGGTAATTAGGTTTAAAACATACCCTTCATTGATATGACATTAACATAACCATGTTCCAGATGTGGTTAGGATTCCAACACATTTCGGTGGGGGGACAATTTGAATCCTAACTGTATGTGTGCAGTTTGGTACATGTAGTCTATGTCTCTTCATCTGAGAGGATTTTGCCTACTTTAGGTAAGGATACATTTCATTATGCATTTTGGGGGGCATAATTGTTATTTTCAGTCCTTTATCTTTGCCTGATATTCTTGACTCGAACCATTCCAGATAATTTTTCTCTGAACCTCCGGGTTTCAAGGTAAAGATTGGGATGATGATACAATTCCCTTACTTTGCAAGGGGTGAGTTAGAGAATTTGTGTGTTAGTTGCATAGGCTTTGTGCCAATCCACATTTTCAGCTCTTGTGCCTGCTTTCCACCTGGAAAAATTTGTTGACAAATCCCTCATTTTCTTAAGTTTTCTGTCTTGTTTTCTTCTTTCTTGGTTTACACTTAAAAATTACTTTCCTCTCTTGTCATTTCAGTAGGATACTTGGAAAGAAGGAGAGATAAATATACAGCAATGTCACTTGTTGCATATTTCAAGTATGGGAACTAACAGAGATATCTATGCATCAAACCGTGGGGAATTTAAATTACTCATGTTGCTCGTTGCTATTGAGTCTGCTCCAACTCATAGCAAGCAGCCTCACAGACTACAGAGCAAGACATTGGCTGCCCAGCCTGTGCTGTTCTTACTGTGGTTGGTGTATTTGGGTTTGCTGAGTGCAACCACTGGGTATTTTGT